GAAGAAGAAGAAGAAGAAGAAGAAGAAGAAGAAGAAGAAGAAGAAGAAGAAGAAGAAGAAGAAGAAGAAGAAGAAGAAGAGAATTCCCAGTGCATTTCATGGGATCTTAATTTGAGGACCTCAGAAGTTAGAGCAGTTATAGGGTAGAAAACAGCTCCTAAGAATAAACTGAGTGGAGGAAACAAGTGCAAGGCTTTGTTCCAGAAGAGCTAGAACTGCAGGAAAGATGTAGGGGTGCCAGGAAATGGACACTCAGGGACCTCAGATTGAACTCTGAGAGGGGGATAGATTAGGACTCAAATATGAAAAGGTAAATAATACAAGCAAAGAGAGGTGGTGGCAATGAGAATAAATTCACAGAGCAATGAACACAATTTGCTACTGAACAATAATTTCAGTAAGTTAGTCATCAGTGGGCAGCTACCACATGCTGGAAACAAGGAAATCATGTATGCAGCTGGCACAGCACTAACTCTACAACACTTACTGTAACTTTTGAGGTTCTCAAATTAAGATCCCAATCAGGATAGCCAATCAGGAAACTGGTGCATTCACTAAGCCATCTCTAAAACCTGCATTGTCAAGAAAGGCCAAACTAGCTTTAAAAAAAAAGATAAAGAAAAATATGTTTAAAACAGCACAATTTAAAAAAAAAAAAAAAAACTTCCAGCAAACCATTACAAAATTTTTACTGTGGCTACAAATCTGGACCACAGCATAGCATGTTACGTGGAATGCAAATGACCTTCAATAAAGGTCATTCTTTTAAAGCCAACCTGAAACTTGCCAGCAGTTTGACAACTGGAATATAACTTGTTTGCAAGTAACCTGCTCACCACAGTGTCAAGCTCAGGTTAACAATCACCTGAAAATTGGTGTAGTCACGTTTTTGTTTGTTTTATGGCTGGTTTTTGAAAAGGCTGTCACTAAAATTGTTCATGTTGTATTGCAAATAAAGCCTTGGGATTGCCAACTCTCTGACAACTGGTTCACTGATTCCAGAGAAGGGAATTTGCATGGCTACAGCTGTCACTCCACTACATTTCTCTTCTCAAGCAGACCAGCAAGGGCAAAGATGGTGTTAGACAGAGGTCACAAGCCCAAGTCTGTCTGTAGACATGTTTTGTTTAACCTCCATGGTCATTTAAAAAGTTGACCTGGTATTTAAAAATAAAAAGATTACAATTTTTAAAAATCCAACTTTATCTTTCTCTTGAATAACTAAAATCCCTGCCAACACAGGTCCTTCTTTGTGGTTTGCAATAATTTGGGGAAGGGTGTGTCCTGTAGT